TGGGCCATCTTATCAGAGAAACTATGGATTAGGTTCGCGTCGGGCATTCGGTTTTCTGGTACGTCTAGGGGAGGGGCAGGCGGACAGGGACGACGACGACGACGAGGACGACGAGGGCGAGGGGGAGGAGTGAAGAGGACGGCGACGGAGGGGCGGAGGGCCAGCACCCCCATCCGTCATCGGGCCAGGGCCCCGAGCAAGGACAGGCGGGAGAAGGGCATGCGAGTCACCCTAGAGTGCCATAACTGATCCAGTTTCGGGGCCAGCTGGGATTCACGGGGTCGTCTTGGGGCAATCTCGAGGTCGTCTCGGAGGCGGCGTTCGCATATCACGGAAAGCCCCTTGGAGGCGGCGTCATGTTATGGCAGCGTTGTTGGTGGTGTCTGTCGTGGTCGCTGTCGTTGGGAATCGCGCTGTCGCTAGAGACTTCCTCGCGATTCATGCAGTAATCACGCTTCAGCAACCCGCCTGCTCGACATGGCCGCTTAGGCCCGCCTTCCCGACCCGCCCGTGAGGGTCGACCCACCCGATCTGCCCGTCTGGTTCTGCCACGTGTTTTCGCTCCTAGCCCCCCTCCTGCTACTCTCTCTCGTGCTCCAGCCTCCTCCCTCCCCCTTGTCCCTTCCTTTCCTTCGTCCTCTCTTTCCCTGCAGTAGGGGCTGCACGAAGTACATGTTGCAGGTAAAGAATGATCTATATATATATATATATATACATACCTCGAAGGGGGTACGATCGAAAATCGACTGGGCGTGTATCGAGGGTTTGGGATTTACGTGTTCTGTTGAATGGCCCGCGAGCAGATACGAGTGAACAGTCCTAAAGTGATTACTGTTGTTTCTGCTGCGGCTGTTGCTGTTGCTGCTGAATTGTCATTAAAAACAGTTGGTGTTGATCCCCCCCGTCCGGAACCCGTTGTATTGATTCAATTGAAATGCTCCTTCCGGGGCTCGCACCCTGGTTTCTACAAGGGCAAGCGAGGGTTCACCAGACTGTGCCCATGGCCCCCGGTTGACAACAACAGCGGCTCCCACGCGATATTGCCTGGCAATGTATTCCCATATCGCGCTCTCGCGCTGGAATTCCTCACAATGAAAGCAGGAGTCGCGCTCTCACGTGGGACCTCCTTGCAATTTTCAGACTCCGCGCCTTCGACGCTCATGAATCGTGCTCTCGCTTTGGTTGTTCTCGTGGTTCACTTGGGAAAGTCGCTATCGCTAGAGACTTCTCCGCGATCCATGCAGGACGCACACGTCAGCAACCCGCCTGCTCGACATGGTCGCCTGGGCTCGCCTTACCGACCAGCCCGTTAGGGTCTACCCGCCCGATTTGCCCGTCTGGTTTTGCCACGTGTTTTCTGTTCCTAGCCTCCCTTCTGCTACTTTCTTTCTTGCTCCATCCTCTTCCCCCCCCCCCCCTCGTCCCTTCCGTACGTCCGTCAACTCTTTTCTTACCTTAGGGGCTGCACGCAATACACGTTGCAGGTGAGAAAGGTCTGCTCCTAACGTGGTACGATCGAAGACGAAGAGAGCCCGTATCGAGGGGTAGACGAGTTGAATGGCACGCGAGCAGGTACAAGCGAACAGTCTTAAAGTTATAGTTGTTGTTGTTGCTGCTGTTGTTGTTGCTGCTGTTCCGCTCTTTGGGTTGTTGTGGTTGCTGCTTCTGTCGTGCAGGTCATAAGAGTTGTTAACATAGCTGGTGGCTGTCATTGTGACCAGATCACAATACGCCAGAGGGTTCATTAACCAAGCATGGCCGCGAGGAGTGTTTGTTATGCAAACCTGTTGTTGTTGGTACTAAAAGTTTTACTGTTGATGTCGATCGTGTCATTGCTCATGATGCCGGCTGTGCTGTTGGTATGGCGGTCATTTTCTGTTTGTTGTTCCTGTTGTTAGTGGTATAGTTTTGTTCTGTCGGTGTCTTCGCGGAGTGTGTTTGTTCTGCCTGGGCTCGTTAACCACAGGGCCAGCCGAACGACCGGAACGTTCGGTTTCTGGTATGTTTGTGTTGTTGTTGTTGGTTTCTTCGTCGCCGTCGTCGCTGGTGTTTGTTATGATTGCATTCTAATTCCTAAAGAACAATTGCGGTTGATCTCTCCCTCGGTGCAGATTGTGTTTTCCAATTCAAGTGCTTCTCCTGGGGCTCGCCCAGCTCTTGGAATCGAAGTTAGCGGAATAAGCGGCATCCACATATTTTTCTGTTTTTTTTCCTAAGGTTGTTGGTTTAGGCACCAGTTCTCTCAGGGCCAAGTTTGCCGCACGAGCTCGCCCATTCCGAGGCGAGGATTGGTCTGTAAGCTCGAGGAGCAACAGACCACATCATCGTATATGTCGTAAGCCCCGCGCGGATGTATTGGATCGGCGTTGGGCCCGCCCCTTGGCGGCGCCTTCGGCGCCGCCCCTTGCGCGCTCCGCGCGCCAGGAAGCGGGGCTCCAGCGCCGATCCAAGAGCTCCGCGCGGGGCTCCGAAAGCCTGTAGCTACGCATGCAGTTTTCGATTCCTACGCCTTAGGCTACTTGGATCATTTGCGTGCCGTTCGCCAGGCCTGCGGGCAAGGAGCGCGTGAGACTTGGCCAGCACTGGCGCGGAGATCACATTTTCCTCGAGAGGGTGCGTTTGGCACGTCTCGGAGCCATCTTAGGGCCGTCCTGGACTGTTCTGGCGCCGCCGGAGCTCCGTCGAGGCACAGCGCATGTCTCGGATGAGGGACAGGTACCCATACCGCCTACCCTCGCCTCGTTCTCCAATTTTCGGGCCTCCTGGGTGGCCCTCGTCGCCACCAATGGATTCGCCTTGAAGTTCTGGTCAGAACGCATCTTAGGAGAGGTCTGGAGAGTAGCGGCATAGGTACCTTTTGGTTTCTCCAATCTCTGCAGGCCGTCGGCCAAGGGAACTGATTGCACGTCTGAGCGGGTAGGCGGCGGGAAGAGCGCTAGGGTGGCACAGCGCGCCGCGGTGGGTGGGCGACTCCCCCTGGACCCAACAGAAAAAGAGAGAAGACATGGGAGGTGGGAGGGCATCGAAGAAGAATAATAAGAAGAAGAAGAATAGTAAGAAGAATAATAAGAAGAATACTAATAAGAAAAAGCAATTGAAAGCACGTAAAGCTCTGAAGCTCCGCGCAGCTTTCTTGGATCGACGCTGGACCCCGCTCCATGGCGCGCGGAGCGCGCCAGCGGCGCCGCCGGAGGCGTCGCCAGGGGAGCCGCCAGGGCCGGTCTGAGAAAACTCCGCGCGGAGCCCCGACCGCTCCTGTGTATGCACTGGTTTCGTCCTGTGTGCCCCGGGACGAGGGACGAGGGGACGAGGGACGAGGGAGAGGGGCAGAGAGGAGGACGAGGGACGAGGGACGAGGGAGCGGAGGAGGGCAGAGAGAGGGCAGCGGAGGACGAGGGACGAGGGAGAGGGAGCCGACGGACAGAGGGGCGAGGGCGAGGGGCAGAGAGGGAGGAGGGAGGAGAGGGACGAGGGACGAGGGCGAGGGGCGAGGGAGGCGGAGGGACGAGGGAGACGAGGGACGCGAACGAAGCAGGACGAGGGAGACGAGGGAGGCGACGGACGAGGGACGAAGCAGGGCGAGGGACGAGGGAGGCGAGGGACGAGCGACGGAAGGAGGAGGGCGAAGAGAGAGGGCTGGCGAGGGACGGCTTCGCGCACAGCCTACAGGGGCAGGGGAGACCGTGGCTGCTGGCCTGTGCAAGGAGCCAGGGTTCACGGCGCTGTTCTTCCTTGCCTGCGCGGACGCCGGGGGCGGGCTCTGCGTACAGATCGACGTCGTCTCCTCCCCCCTCTGGTCAGGCGATCGCAAGCATGGATCAAGGGGGCGTGGATTAGCGACGGGTCTCGTTTTTCATGGGAAGTCGCGGATCTCCGCCGCCGAGCGAGGCGGCACCGGCCGCATTTTGGGGAGGGCACCTCCCCCGATCCATGGAATTGGCGACCGCGCGCCAAATCCATGGATCGCTAATCCATGTTTGCGCGCCCCCGATCTGGGATGCATGCAACTCCTCGGAGGTGAACATCCAGCATCGATCCTGGCATATCCGTGGCCTAGCCCCGCTGAGTCCCGCGCAATCTGCCCTGATTCTCACCCCCCCCCTTTGCTATCCTCCCCTTTCGCCCGACCCGAGCCACGCGAGTGGGGATAGGGGTCGGTTCAACGATGCTCATGTGCACCAGTCCTGGGCCCAAGCGGGGGCCTCTCCTCGGCGGTCGTGTGTGCCTGGGCTTCTGCCTGTGGGGCCCCACGGTGGGAAAGCGTGAGGTGGCGGAGGGAGTGCCAGGCCAGGTCAGGGAGGGGAAAAGCACACAGACACAATGAATCGTCGATCCCCAGGAAAACATGGGAAGTGTGGGGGGGGGGGGAAGACGATCACCCAGAAAGTATGGAAAGATGCGGGGAATCCTGGGATTTGTGTGTATTTGTTTGTGTGTCCCTGGGCCCCTTCACTAGGATGCAGCCCTCAGGGTGTTTCGCTCAGCATCCATGCTGGTGCATCACCCGCGGTCGGAAGCAAGCATCATATCTGGCGCCATCCCGTTCAATTCGGTCGAATATGCAGTCGAGACTGACTGGTAGGTCGACCCTGCCAAATCGAGGGTACTCACATTCCCATGGCAGTGTGGCCCTCGGAAGAGTCCTGTGTCCCCTCGCGCGTCCTCTTCAATCGACCCCGACGGCACGGTTCAATTCCCTACGCTGCGGCCTAAGCCGGGCCAGTCCCAGCTCAGTGGTCCCCCCATCGGGCCTCGCGTCGCCGCGAGCCACTCGGGAAGGTTGCCCATCCTTGCTATGCGGGTTGACTGTGTCGTCTCCTCCTCCTCCTCCTCCTCCTCCTCCTCCTCTCCTCCCCCTCCTCCTTCCTCCTCCTCCTCCTCCTCATCCTCCTCCTCCTCCTCCTCCTCCTCCTCCTCCTCCTCCTCCCAAGCGAAGTTTCCGGAGCCCGAAAAGTTTTCGGAGCCCCGCGCGGACTTCTTGGATGCCGGCGCTGTGGACCACCTCTTTCCCCCCCCCCCTTTCCCCCCCCCCCCGGCGAGCGCAGCGCGCGCCGCGGCGGCGGGACCCGGAGGCGCCCGCACACGGGGGGGGGCCATCAGCGCCGAGCCAAGGGCTCTCCGCGCGGAGCTCCGAGCGTTTTGCTGCTCGTGTTAAGTCGGACCTGTCCCCCTACAGGGGGAACATTCAAAAGTAGTGAAAAAATCGTCTGGGGAGGATTGTTTTACCATTTTTGAATATGTTTGGGGTATCTTTTTGACTATCTTGTAGCTTTCGTCCAAAATGCCCCTGTAGGGGGACAGGCCCGACTTCATGTTCGTGCCGAGCCTGCTCTCTCTCCTCCTTCCTCCTCCTCCTCCTCCTCCTCCTCCTCCTCCTCCTCCCGCTCCTCCTCTCCTCCTCCTCCTCCCTCCTCCTCCTCCTCCTCCTCCTCCTCCTCCTCCCCCTCCAACTTATGGTGGTGGTGGTGGAAATAGGCCCATCACTCTCTCTCTCCCTCGGCGCTGCCTCGGCGCCCCCCCCGGGGGGCGACTGCCGCGGCCTGGGTTGGGGGCGCGCTCGAGCGCTGTGCCGCCGGCCGCGCGGCCGAGCCCGCCGAGGCGCCCGAGGGGAGGCCCACCCGCGCCGATCCGAGGACTCCGCGCGGAGCTCCGAGCGTTTTGCTGCGGGCAATATCGATATCCATATCCAGGGCGTCTTGGACTTTCGTGGAAGGGGCGCCGCAAGGCCGAGGCGCACTGGATGTGGATAGAATTCGAGCCTCTAGTAGGGGCCTGATTTTTTATCCACATCCAGTGCTCCTCGGTTTTCTGGGGAAGGGAGCCCGAACCCCCAAGCTGCAGTGGATATGGACACAAGTTTCGCCCGCAGTTGCTGCTCGTGCCGAGCTGCTCTCTCTCTCTCTCTCGGCGCTGCCTTGGCTTGAGTCGGGCCTGCCCCTCTGCAGGAGGAATCCACATTCAGGAATGGTCACAAAGAAACGTCTGTGTACGATTTGAATAAAATGATTATTGGACCACGCTGGAACATTTTTCGAACATGTGCGATGTTTCGTTTCAGATCCGCCTGCAGGAGTCAGGGAATCGCAAACATAGATCAAGGGGGCGTGGAATAGCGAAGGGTCCCGTTTCCATGGGAAATCGCGGATTTCCGCCGCCGAGCGAGGCGGCACCGGCCGCATTTTGGGGAGGGCACCTCCCCGATCCATGGATTTGGCGACCGCGCGCCAAATCCATGGATCGATAATCCCCGAAGGAGGACTTGCCCGACCTAAGACTTGGCGCACCCCTCAGAGGGCGATTGCCGCGGCCCGGATGGGGGCGCGCTCGAGCGCTGTGCCCCCGGCCGCGCGGCCGAGCCCGCTGAGGGGCCTGCTCCGTCCCGGTCCCCTTGGGAGCTCGCGCGGCCCACGCCTTGCTGTTTCAGGCAGCCCTCTTGGGCCCCGAGGAGCAGCATCACGACGGGATGCTGCCTCCTCCTCCGCCTCCTCCTCCTCTTCCTCCTCCTTTTCCTCCTCCTCCTCCTGCTTCTCCTCGTCCTCCTCCTCCTCCGCTGCTCCTGGGTGATCCGATTCGGCATCGGCGCCAGCGGATCCGTTGTCGACGTCCGGCCCAATGAAGCAGACTCCCGCTCGATCTTGCTCTCGTGCCGCTTCATGTGGCTGTTAATCCCGGGCTTTCTCCGGCCTGATCCGGTCCAGTGGCCCCTTCATCGGGCTTGATCGGTTTTTCAATCGTTCTGACGAAGATCCCAGGAGCGGTTTCCTCGGTCGGGTGGAAGAGGCGCCGGCCGTCCCACGATTTCTGAGGGGGGAGGTGGGGTTCACTTCGCTCGGGAGGTCCCGAGCGAAGTGAGCCCAGCTGGACAGACGCCCCCCCCCTCTGCCATCCAAGAGACGTTCACACGACCCCCACATACACATTGTTCATTTCTAAATCTTCGAAAGTTCTTTGGATTTTTTGGGGGCCAAGATCCTTTCATTTCTACTTGTTCTATCCTGGGCCTCTTCCTGGCCACTGGGGGCCAGGAACAATTAGAAGCGAGCACAATTAGAAATGAGCACGATTAGAAATGGACGACGTGTACCCCTCACGCGTTTCGTGCTTCTTGGGGGGCTTCACCCATGGTTTCCCCCACCATTTTCGGTACGACCCTCCTGCGTTCCCTGCCTCTCAGGGAGCTCCACTGACGGTCCCGGCGGGAAAGCTTGCATGTGTCCCCGCCCCCTTCCTCCCTCAGGTATTTCGGCACATCCCTCGCACACTCCGTAGCTCCAGCGGAAGTCCGACCTATGGCCCCAGTGGGAAAGCTTGCACGCGTCTCCCCGCCCACTTCGGCGCCCCGCTCTCGAACGGCCCGTGCCCTCACACAGCTCCAGCTACGGCCCCAGAGGCAGGTCTCGCACGCGCTCCGCCCCCCCCCCCCAAGTTTGGTGCAGCCCTCACGCGCGCAGCACCCCACGGGGAGCTCCACCTACTTCGGGGGCGGAAAAGAGGGGGGTGATGACTAGGGGGGGGATGTCATGGCGGGGGCCATGATGTTTCCCGAGATTTCATGGCGCCCCTTCTTGTTTCATTGCGTCCCTGGCCCCCCGCTGGGCCGCGCACCTGCCGCCGGTCATGATTTGCACCCCCCCCTCTTGGACACCCCCCTCTTGGCCGCTCCCGACTACTGCCCTGGTGTCAAGGCTTGCATCTGTCCCTCCACACGTTTCGGCACACCCCAGCGCGGACCGCGGACAGCGAGGCCCTCAACACCAACGCCACACGAAGGTGCCGAGGCGTGGGTCCCCCGCCAGGCCGATTGGAACCCGCAGGCTCCCGCGGTCTCGAGTCCCGGGCCCAGCTTTTGTTCCCGCCTCGGAGCCGCGCTTTCTTGCCCCCCTTGCCCGACGACGACCCCCCGGGACCGAAATCGAAGAAGAGCGCCGCGATTGCACAGCACAGTCGAGCCGCATCAGAAGGGACGGGCACCCTTCCCAGGGCTACCCTTGCATCCTTGCCCCCCTCCGGCCCATCCCTTGGCCGCCTTCGCTGGCCGCACCCCGCTCGAAGAGCCTCGACATGGCCCTCCAAGGCCCTTGCATCCTGACAGCCGGCTCTGATTAGTGGGCCGGCCCTGCCACATCAGGGGTACCCGTGTGTCCCGTGTCTCGCGACCCCTGCCTCTCACATCCCTGTGGCGACGTGGCCCTCGGAAGGGTCTTGCGTCCTCTCGCGTGCCCTGCCCCAGCAAGTCCGACCTGTCGCGCGCCCTCGCGCCACGGGCTGGCCGTCGTCATACGTTTGCCCCGCGCGGGCCCCCCGCCCCGAGCTCGCGCGGCGGCATGCCCGAGCAGCACCGACGCCCCGGGGCCCCGGCGGCCGAGGTGTGCAGTCATGATCCGTCGACGCCGCGAGGCCAAACCACGTTCGGGAGGGGAGGCAACAACTTTTTTTGGTCGCGGCCGCGAGACAAAGGTCAGGCGGCAAGAGCAAAGCCCGGGACGCGAACTAGGCTAATCAGCTACAACAGGCACAGGCCGGCCGGCCCACTCACACAGCAGCCGCGAAGCTGAAGGGGGGAGCTGACGGCGGACGGCATCCTGAGAGCTCGAGCACGTGAGGAAACAAAACACACAGACACAAATACTGGAAGTGAATGGAAGACAACAGAAAACATAAAATATCAGAACAGATGAGGAATCTGGTTATTTGTGCCTATTTATTTGTGTGCCTCCCAGGGCCCCTTTCACAGGTTTTTGGATGGGATTCCGACAACTGGTTTGTTGAATTCAGAAAGCCAGCTGTCATTTTCAAACAGCCAGTGTCTGGAATCAAAAACCAGGTTATTGAGTTCGGAGAACCAAGTTTTTGGATGGGGTTCCGACAACTGGTTTGCTTAATTCAAAAAACAGTTGTTATTTTCAAACAACCAGTTTCTGGAATTCAAAGAACATCAGATTCTCGAGTTCCGAAAAGCCAGGTTTTTATTTCCAAGCACCGGTTTCTGACTTCAAAGGCAAGTCCATTGAATCCAAAAAACTTAGGGGGGCACCAGCACATCTCTGGGCCTCGCGGCCGCGGCATGCACGGTGTACGGAGCGGGCCGGGAGCTCTGCTCTTTGAGTCTAGCGGTCGTTGCTTGTTGCATCCCGTAACGGTCGTTGCCAGGAGGGGGGCCCGAGGAACGGCAGCGCGGGGTGGGGGGTTTTGGCCCGAGCAACGACCGTTCATTACGTACCAGAGGATGAGCAAGCAATCCCCTAACAAGCCCACCTCATGTGATGGGGCAAACTCGATCCTCGATCCTCCCTCCCCTCCTCGTCGTCGACGACGTCGTCGATGTCGTCGTCGATGTCGTCGTCGTCGTCGACGACGACGTCGTCGTCGTCGATGTTGTCGTCGTCGTCGTCGTCGTCGTCGTCGTCGTCGTCGTCGTCGTCGTCGTTTTCGTCGTCGTCGTCGTCGTCGTCGTCGTCGTCGTCGTCGGCGACGGTGCCGACGAGGCGGTGCTGGGGAGCGGTGCGGGCGCCGTGGGCCGCGGGCGAGGAGTCAGGCAGGCCCACGGGGTGAGGCTCGGGGGTCGCTCCGAGAGCGCTCTTCTCAAGCAGTGGCGAAGCGTCCTGGCTCGCCTATAGCCCCACCAAGCAATGTTCTAAGAACCTGTTGTGGCTCCCACGAACTGTTCCTAGAACATTTCTGGTTGGGACTGTTTTATTTTAACACATCGGGTTATGTTCTAAGAACATTGGTTTTGTTATTAGAACACGTTTGGGTTCTAAGAACATTTCGGTGCGGCTTTTCTGGTGCGGGCAAGGCTTGTGTCCACATCCACCGCAGCTTGTCGGACAAGGCACAGGTGCCCTATGCCGGTAACCTTCGCCCGCGTTCCCCTTTTCGGGGCCTCCTGAGAGGCCCTCGTCGCCACCGCTGGATTCGCCTCGAAATCCTGGTAAGAGCGCACCTCGGGAGAGGGCTGGGGAGTCGCGGCATCGCTACTCACTGGTTTCTGCAGCTTGGAGTTTCGGGCTCCCTCTTCCCCAGGAGCCCGAGGCGCACTGGACGTGGATCAAGATCTGGCCCCTGGGGGCTCGAGTTCTATCCGTATCCGGTGCGCCTCGGCTTTGTGGCGCCCCTTCCAGGAAAGTCCAAGACGCACCGGATGTGGATTTAGATCTTGCCCGCATCCGGGCGTTCTCCAGCCCCCTCGGGCAGCACAAGTCCCGAAGGAAGGTCTTGAGCAACGTTCCGCCTCTGGGGGCCCTCGCTGGGCCCTGTGGCCGTGAGGAAGCGACTCAGGATGAAGTGCTGGCCCCGGGGAAGGTCGGGGGCGGAAAAGAGGGGGGTGATGACTAGGGGGGGTGGATACCATGGCGGGGGTCATGATTTTTCCTCAGATTTCATGGCGCCTTTTCTTGTTTCATGACGTCCCTGGCCCCCCCCGCTGGGCCGCGCACCTGCCGCCGGTCATGATTTGCACCCCCCCCTCTTGGACACCCCCCTCTTGGCCGCTCCCGGGAAGGTGGCCGGACTTCCAAAGGCCCCCCTTGCCGAACACCACGACGTCGCGGATCTGGGCCTGGAGCCCTCAGGAACGGCCTCGGCGCCCCACACGTCCTCCAGGCCCGCCGACTCTGAGCCCTGACATCGTCGTCGTCGTCGTCGTTGTCGTTGCCGCCGCCGCTGACGTTGTCGTCGTCGTCGGGATCGTCGTCGGCGTCGTCGTCGTCATCGTCTTCGTCGTGGCGCGGCGGTCCCTCCTTATGACATGGAGGGGGGGGGGGAGGCGGTTCGACACACCTCCCCCCCGGGAAGGGCCCGCCCCCTGGTTTTGGGAGGCAGGTCAGGGGGGGGCAGGGGCTCCAGGGGGACGTATCGACCCCTGCTCGCCCCGGTTCGTCGCCGATCGGGCCCCGACAGCCCGCCCCGCCCAGGAGCGTGCGGCTCCGCTGTCGGGGGCCACATCGCCGATCCATCGGCGATGCGTCGCCGAGTCCTGGCCCCTCGGCATCGCTCGGACGTGTGCATTTTTCCTTCGGCGAGGACCATCGAGGAGCATCCTTGATCATTTCGCGAAAAAACCACGCACGAAACCGAAAAAAGCACAGGAAATGGGCGTCCGAGCGATGGCCAGGCCCGTGCTTCCCCTCCTGATGAGCGGGTCCCCCCCCCCCCCCTGACGTTCCCCCTCGGGCGCTCTCGGAGCGTCTGTGATCCGAGAGCGTGCCGCCCAGGCGTGCCGTGCTGCTGTTGGAGCAGCCTTCAGCCGGGGGCGAGCATCGCCAGGCAACCGCAGAGGCGTCGTGCGTAGCTCCCTGGAACGACCGCGGCGCCCGGTGCATCCTCCAGACCCGCGGGCTCCTCACGGGTTCCCGACCTACAGGGCGCTGCAGCAGGGGCCACCTTACGCTCAGGGATGGCTCAGAATTTCGGGCCGTTGGCCGCAGGTCGAAGGGTCGGGGACCCTATGGGTGGCGGGGGGCTCGCCGTGAGCAGCCACGCCCGCTTTTGTCCCTTGCAGCGAAAAATCCAGAGCAAGGGCTGATGGGCCTGGTTTCCACCACCACCACCAGAAGTTGGATGGGGGGGGAGGAGGAGTAGGAGGACGAAGAGGAGGAGGAGGAGGAGGAGGAGGAGGAGGAGGAGGAGGAGGAGGAGGAGGAGTAGGTAGGAAGAGAGGAGAAGGAGGAGGAGGAGGCCGACGAAAAGGAGGAGGAGGAGGAGGAGGAGGAGGAGGAGGAGGAGGAGGACCCCCTCCCCCTCCAGCTTATGGTGGCGGTGGTGGAACACAGGCCCATCAAGGACGGGTGCGCTCCCCAAGGGCACCCTCGCGTCCTCAGACTTGCTTGGCGGCGCGCCGCGCCAGCAAAAAGCTTCGCCTGGGGCGCCCAGGGGCCGCCCCCGAGGGCCTCTCGCGTCCCTGCGGCGCGCCCTCGCTGCAGATCCTGCCTGCCTTCGGCGCCCCTCGTGGCAGCACCGGTGGCTGCGCGCCCTCTCGCTGGCACGCCGGCTCTGCCCTCGGAGGCTCCCGGCCCAGCTGGCCTCGTCACCGGACCTCGTCCTCGTCCTGCCCTCGCCTGGGGCAGAGGGGGGGGGGGAACGCCCTCGTCGGGCGCTCACCCTCGTCCGAGGCTCGGCCCGCCTCGCCCGCGTCCGGTCCTCGTCGGGCGCTCGCCCTCGTCCGAGGCTCGACGCCGCCCGGATCTCGTCCTCGTCTGGAGCTCGACGTCGCCCGGAGCTCGTCCGCTTCCGGCTCTCGTCCTCGGCCGGCTCTCGTCCTCGTCCTGCCTTCGGCCTGAGGCGCCGAGGGGGGCCCGCCCCGCCCTGAGGAGGTGCTGCTCCGCGCGCGCTGGCGCCACGTCGCTGCCCTGGCGCTCTCGTTCGTGGCGGGCCCGCCGCGGCATTCCCCTCGAGGGAGTGGAGGAGGAGACTGAGAAGGGAGAAGGAGAGGGAGGAGGGGAACGAGAAGGAGGAGGAGGAGGAGGAGAAGGAGTAGGAGGATGATGAGGAGGATGATGATCATGAGAAGGAGGAGGGGGAGGGGGAGGTGGAGGAGGAGGAGGAAAAGGAGAAGGAGGAGGAGAAGGATATTGATAATGAAAAGGAGAAGGTGAAGGAGAAAGAGGAGTAAGAGGAGAAGGAGAAGGCGGAGGAGGAGGATAGTTATGAAGGCGAAGGAGGAGGAGAAGGAGGAAGAGGAGGAGGAGGAGGCGAATGAGGAAGAGCACGATGTTATGAAGGAAAAGGAAGAGGACACAGAGAAGGGTAATGATGACAATGATGATGTGATACTGATCTTGATCATGATGATGATGAGGATTGTGAGGAGAAGGAGGAGGAGGAGGATCTGAAGGAGGAGTAGGAGGAGGCAAAGGAAGAGGAGGAGGAGGACAATAAAAAGAAGACGAAGGATGAGGAGACGGAGAAGGATATTGATGATAATGATGTTAATGACGATACTGCTGCTGCTGCTGCTGGTGGTGATGATGATGATGATGATGATGATGATGATGATGATGATGATGATGATGATGATGATGATGATGATAATGATGATGATGCTATGATGCTGCTGCTGATGATGATTATGATGATGCTGGTGATGATTTTGAGGAGGAGGAGGAGGAGGAGGAGGAGAAGAAGGAACAGGATAGGATGAGGATGATGAGAAGGAGGTGGTGGTGGTGGTGGAGGAGGAGGAGTAGGACGAGGAGGACGAGTTCGGTAGCCTCTCCGTGGATCTCATGTCGGCATTATCCAACCGACCGGCCGATCAAGGAAGACGAGGGCGAGGATGAAGAGCAGAGGTGAGGCGGGAGCTCGGGGGCGAGGCGCAGGAGGGAGGAGGGAGGAGGGAGGAGGCTGGGACGGGCGGGGCAAGGGAGAGACGAGCGAATAGGCGCTGAGGAGGCGCAGGAGGGAGCCGAGGAGGCCCAGGCTCCCGGCCTGGCGCCTGGGCCCCGCCCGGGGGCCCCGCGGCCCCGTGGCGCGAGGCGCCGGGCCGTGGCCCCGAGGCCTGCGGCGGCGCCGCGCTCCTCGCCCGCCGCGCGCGAGGCTCTCGACCCCCGCCGAGGCCCTTCTCGGACGGGGCCAGGACGAGGATCAATCCGGTCCAGAGCGCTCCTCCTCCATCCTCGCTTCTCCTGCCTCCTCCTCCTCCTCCTCCTTCCTCCTCCTCCTCCTCCTCCTCCCCCTCCTCCTCCTCCTTCCTCCTCCTCCTCCTCCTCCTCCTCCTCCTCCTCCTCCCCCTCCTCCTCCTGAGCAGTCCGGGGCGGTCTCAGCACCCTGGCGCGGCCTCCGCGCCCTGGGCGTTTGGTCTGGACGGGGCCAGGACGAGGGTACATCCGCTCTCGGAGCGTTCCGGAGCGCTCTCAGCGCGTTCTGGAGAGCGCTTTGGGAAGGCCGGGGCGCCCGATGCCTCATCCAGGACCGCCGGATCTCCGAGATTCTCGGCTTCTCCTCACCCGCATCTATCCTCGTCCTAGCTTCGTCTGACCTCGATCCCCCGAGGCCCTTCTGCACCTCCGCACTTCTGCGCGGTGCCGCTAGTTCGCTCTTTTCTCAGTCATCGACGCTGCGACAGCGGCTGCCCGAAGGAGAACAAGCGGCATAAGCATGACCTTCCTGAGATCCGTGCGGATGTCTTGGATCTGCGCTGGTCTTTTCTGCTGTGTGACGCGTCACCTGCATGAAAGCCTGATCCGCCTTGACCTTCTCAACTTTGCCGCACGTCTTATTATGTAACCATTTTGTCTCAAGCCATGTTGGCTCAAGGGGTGGCCCAAGCGTCCCATTCTAGGTCAGGCATCCGTTCCTTGCCGTGCGCCACCACACGCTTCGTTTTGGCATTTTGCCTCACTTAGATCCCACCATTCCCTGCACCATTCCAGTCTGCCAGAGACCGGCCGCGCTGATGGGTCCTCGCGCTGCTGGGAAGGAGCGTGGCCGCCGTGCAGCGAGGAACTCGAACAGTCCGTCACGCAATGCGAGCCCAGCGTCAGCACATCGCCAACTCCCCCGAATCCTTGCTCACCGCATCGACAGCAGTGACGACGGCGACAGCCGCAGCCGCAGCGGCCGTGCATGCTCGCCACCGCCCTTCCGTGCGCCATCATGGATGACGGGGATCATCCAGAGCGTCCTTGACGCTAACGATAAGTTGGCCAGATTCGAGCAGAGCTTCGAGCAGGAGAAGTCGCCGATGTGCGCGACCATTGAGGTGCACGGCACAAGCGTTCGTTCCATACATGAGAGGATGGTCATCGTCGAGGCTGGCAACCAGGAGTCTATCACTGCTGCCGTCGCTGCCGCGGTGGACGAGAAGATCAGCACCGTCCAGTCCCAGATCTCGGCGATCCATTCCCATTTTCAGGTGCCCAACCTATCCCCGTCGCAGGGCATGGCATGGGAAACTGTGCCGAGATAGAACGCCAGCTTCAGGACCTCACTGACCAGGAGAGGATTGTTCAAACCCATATTTGCGCACTTGTTTCACCTCCTAGCCGCCATCGTCAGCATCAACTGCAGGCTCATCCTCTAGCGGAGGCTCCCGCCGCACCACGGGGAGCATCGAACAGCACCAGCACGACACATGCAAGCTGCTGCTTTTGGGTTTCCCGCGACTGCTGCTGCTCAAGAATCTGAAGGATGTAGGCACCGCGTGTGCTTCCGCTTTTGCTAGCACGGCTGGTCAGCCGAGAACCATTCATTGTCCGTGCATTCGGTCTTTCGAAACAAGTCACGTCGTCGTTCGGGAGTGCGAACGCTGCCAGATCCTTGTGTTATACCATTTCTTTAGGTGTGGCGGCAGCTGGAGCACCCCCGAGCCCCTCCGCCCTACCGCTCCGTTCACAGTGCGTCTTCGGCTGCGGTCAAAGCGCAGGTCTGTGACAACTGTGCCGTGCCCATCGTGTGCGATCGAGCCGTGTTCATTGGCATTCGAGAGCGCGTTCCTTCGGTCGAGCAGGCAGGTGCGGTCCTTTTGAGGCGGCCCTTTGCACGCTGAGGCTGACTGCAGCACAGATCGGGTACCCCCCTTCACCGTCCTGTTGCCCTTTCTTCCCTCCTTCCCGCTCCTTCTCCATTTGCGCTTGGGACACCGAAGCCCTCTTCGCGTCAGTCAAGGCTGATTCGTGGCGGGCCAGATCGAGATCTGCACGGCGCACGAAATTATGCAACGCACACGGCGCCATCGCAATGCAAGAGGCGCACGGGCACGAGGGAGATACTGCAGAGCTCTAGTGCCAGCTTCCTGGACGCGAGTTCGGGTATTCCTTGTTCGCCGACTCTGCGCGCGATGGTGGGGTCGCCGCCGCCGCCTCTGCGCAGCTTGTCCCCCTCTTCTCCACCGTCGAGCATGCGCCGTTGGTCACGGGCGGGGGGGGTCTGAAGATTGTGCTCCGTGGGTCCCTGGGCAACCTGATGGTCCAGTATTCCCACCGGCCCGACACCTGTGGCTCGATCGGTCTTTTCTCTGGCTCGCTGAAGATCGTTCATCGCGATTTTCTGCGCCGCCAGCCTGGTGGCAAAGAATTCGGGGCACGCGCTTCACTCTTGGGCGATTGGAACCTCGTGCGGGGGTGGGATCACTGCTGGAGATGCCGCGCAATCGCGCTGCCTCCGAGGCCTTTTCCCGCACCTCGCGGAGCTGGCTCAAGACCTCGACGCCCGAGGGGGGAGCAGGGGCAAAGTGGTTGACAAAACATCGCGCGCCGACCGCGTTCATTCGTCGTCGCTGTCTGCCCTGGCCGGAGATTTTATTACTTCGACTTCGACGGTTGGTCCCCTGAAGTCCGCCATGCCTAGTGATCGCATTCCTGTCCGTGTTGTTTTTGATTGGTTTCGCCACGACTTGGGTCACATTTGCACCCATCCCTGGGTGGCAGGGGCGCCCGTGTTCGGTCGGGCCCTGGAGGAGCTGTTGAATGAGATGCCTGGGGGCTGCGACGTTTGAACCAAAACTGTCGGTTGCCAATGTCCTCTCCTTTGAGGTGGGGAAGAGGGCGCGCTGAGCCCTTCGCTGCTGACCAGCCGTCGGCATGCATGGCGACGCAAACGTAGTCCAGCTCGCCCTTGTGCTATCCCTGGCTCCGCTCTCAATTCGGCGCCCTCTTTAATTGCGTCAATGTCCATGGGCTCTGCCGGCGCGTCTTCTGTCTTTGCCGCCGTATTCTGAATGAGGGGGAACGGGGGATTCAATCCTCGCGCGCTGCCCATGATGTCAAACGCCCGATGGCTGCTCGCCTCCGCCGTCGCAAGCCTCCCCGGCAAGAGTTTCGCAAGCGGACGGTCCTGGGCGCGGCCGAGGCCTCCGATGGGTCCCCCGCAGGCTCCTTTGAAGAATCCGCTCGGCTTCTTGGTGATCATTGGGCCTCTGCGCTTGCCGCCCCCGACGTGGGCCCCTCCTGTTATGGGCGACGTCGCCCATCGCATCAAGGCCCGCGACAGCCCTCTTAGACAGGAATGGCGTCTGGAGTGCCCTTGATGGTGCGAGTTGGCGGTTGGACGGGCCCGCGGCGCCGGCCTGATGGCGCGCCTTGCGCTGGTCGGGGGCATCCGAGCGCATCTCGGATACTACGCGCGCGCCGCCGCTCCCTCTCCGACGGAAACCTCCACTCGTTCCCAGAAGTCACGCTGCGCAGTCGGATGGCGTTTCTCCCCGAGGGCGCGAGCCCTGCCGACGTCCCCGGCCAAGCCCTCGTCCGCGAAGCTAGTGCCATTTTCCCGCTACGCTCGTGCAGCGCAGGTGTCCAGTTGCTGGCCGCGGCTTGCATCTTGCCCGTCGCTGCGAGCGCCGCCTCGCTTGTCGGCGCTGAACAGAAGTGCGCGACGGGGAGGGGCATGGTTGAGAACGTTGTTAAAGCGGAGGCATGGGGGATGAGGAGGTTCATGAACGAACCTCCTCATCCCGCGTTCCCGAGTGCAGCGCGCGTTTGGCTCTTTTTTTTTCGTGCTGCGCGCAATTGACATATGCTCTCGCCTCGTCCAGTTCTTTGCCACGATGCATGCGTCCATTGCCGCTGTCGTCGCTGTTGGGCGTCAGCGCTTACAGCCCGTTCCTCTCGACCCTGGAGTCGTGCGGGGGCGCCCTGCCTCGATGCTCCTCTGGGCGCTTGCAGCGTGCCCTTTGCTTGCCTGCAGGAGGAGGAGGAGGAGGAGGAGGAGGAGGAGGACGACGAAGAGGAGGAGGACGACGAAGAGGAGGAGGAGGAGGAGGAGGAGAAGCGAACCTCAGTTCATCCCTGGCCGACGCGGGTGGCTTCTGGTTTTGTGTGTTGCAGGTGCCCTCTGACCTCGGCCCGCTGCCATCGGTTTTGATGGAGCCCAAAGCCATCGTGAACCTCCGCCAGAATTCCCCTAAAATGCCAGCTTGCATTCTTCCGTGGCACCGACGTTTGCCTGTCTCACCCGTGCCTTGGCGACGTCTGGTGGCCCCTCCTGCCGCTTGCAGGTTGCCTCGTGGGCCGCCTGCCTCGGGCCCCCCATGGGGCCGACTGCGGCCCCCCGAAGTTCCGGCTTGCGGTCACTCCAGGAGTTTCTCCAGGGTGCACCAGGCGCGGCAGCTCGGGCTCGGCATTGCACGATCAGCGACCGCTTTCCGCGCGGCGTGCGTCACGACTCTGCCCTTTCGGCCGCAGCTGCGTCCGCCCGATGCCGCTCTCGACCGCCAGTTCCGTGAGAGCGTCAGGCGGCTTATCTCTGGGCCTAGGAATGTTTTCACCTACGACATTGCCACCAGGCATAAGGCAATCGGCTGGACACCTGAATTTGTTGATCGCAGCGCTGTCGCGCACCCCGCCGCGATCCGATGCCTCCTGCGCCCTGGTGGGCTTTATGGTGTTCTGGAGGGCCCCGACCAGGCTCGTGGAGACCTTCGAGCACATCCCCGATCGCTGGCACCTCGGTTGGCATGAACAGTTTTCTGGGCTATATATGCGGAAAGTTCGCGGCCGGCTTCAAGGGCTCTGGACTGGCCTCGGCGCTGGGGCCTCCAAGCTACAAGCCAAGCTGAACGTGCATTTTAGTTCGAGGCAGCGGCCCGAGCCAGTCCGCGATGCCCTCTTTTGGCGCGCGCGCGCTATTTTTGGCCCCGACGTCCGCCCGCGCGCGCGATGCGATTCGGCGAGTGTGCGCGGCCAGGTCCATGCGCATCGGGATTGCACCTCTGCGTCTTTTGACAGGCTCGATCTGTGCGAGCGCGAGGTTCCACGCTGCTTTTCTTCTTCCTCTTCTTCTTCTTCTTCTTCTTCTTCTTCTGTGGGGGGGGGCGCGGTGCCGACAGCAACGACGCAGACTGGCTCCGCCATTGCTCCGATTGTCCTCACCTCGGGGCTGCCCTTCGGAAGTGGATGGGGGGGAACTGGGCGTGTGCATCGTGGTGAGGTGGGCTACCATTGGTTCCGCTCCTGCCTCCTCCTTGAGGACCTGTCAGCCTGATTATAGAGCGCGCTGCCTGCAGGGATGCCTTCACTTGCGCTCTCTATATGTGCGAGACGCCTCGGCCGCCCTGCCGCCCCCGAGCTTGCCTTGGAGGCCCGCTCGAGGGTCGCCTCTCGAAGGCGCCCCGAGCTTGCAGCGAGGCGGGCCTCTCTCAGGAGGAAAAAAAACACACAGACACAATTAATCGTCGATCCCCGGGAAAATATGGGAAAATATGGGAAGTGGGGGAGAAGACAAAAACCCAGAAAATATGGGAAAATATGGGGAATCCTTTTATTTGTGTTTATTTATTTGTGTGTCCCAGTTCCCCTTCACTTTCGCTCACCCGTCACCTGGCGAGGGCGGCGGCCCCTGGCCTGGCAGCGCCGCCGCCGCGAGCGCCTGGCGCTCCTCGCGGCAGGCGGGGGCTCCCTCCTGCAGGGCCGCCGCCTCCTCGCCGCCACGTGGCTCGTGCTGCTCGGCGTGCGCGCCGACCGCCTTCGACGTCAAGCGTGCAGAACCCAGCGAGGACCGGATGCCAACAACTACTCCGACGGAGGGGCCCCGCAGGAGAATCTGGTCAGCTTGCCCTGAGCCCTTTCCTCCTCGCCCTGGCAGACACCCTCCTCTCGCCCTCTGCTCAGCCCTCTCCTCCTCCTCCTCCTCCTCCCCCTCCTCCTTCTATTATTTCTCCTCCTCCTTCTATTTATCCTCCTCCTCCTCCTCCTCTTTGTCCTTCTCCACTTCCTCGTCATCGTCGCCCTCTCCCACCCCTTTCCCCGTCGTCATCCTTCCCCTGCTTCTTTTCCATGCGCCCCCCTCCCCCCTGGTCGGGGCAAGCAAATCAATCTCCCTTGGCGCCGTCGCCGCCTCGGCCAGCGCGCGCGCATTCGCCGACGGCTGGTTCGCGAAGCGTTTGGGACAGCTCCGCGGACCATGCTTTTTCCCCGGCGCTATTCCAATCAGATGAAAACACGGAGCAACCACAACAATACGGAACCCAAATCAACATGCCGAGACCAGGATCGCAGCACCTCGGATCCCCGACGCAAAACCGAAGTGGGGAAATTGCAAGTGGTTTCGAGGAAGCGGGCCCCACCCCCGCGCATGCGGCCAGCGGCGCGCAAGGCAGGGGAGCGACGGAGACCCACATCCTTTCACCAGGCCAGAGGCTCTCGCGTTGGAAACACTATGCGGCCAGAGGCTCGCGCAGCTGACGTTGCCAGAGGCTCTCGTCGCACACAAATACTTTAACAGACAACCTGCGTTGCCAGAGGCTCACGCAATTGACGAGGCCATGGGCTCTCGCCGTCGACTGACTGATAACAGGAAGCCTTTTCGCAAAACAAGGTTTCCTTATGAATGCCAGGCCCAAGGGACACCCGTCTCTCAGGGAAGCGCTTCTGGTTGTGAACAAAAAACGTGTAGGGACTTTTGAAGAGGTAGCATGGGCAGGAGGGTGTATCACCATCATTAATGCATCCTGGGTTCCCTCTGGTCCTCCTCCCCCTCGTTGTCCTCCTCCTCCTCCTCCTCCTCCTTCTCCTCCTCCTCCTCCTCCTCCTCTTCCTCCTCCTCCCCATGACACAAATTCGCGCTAGTGGCCTTTTTGTTCACATAGAAAACAGGAAGTGTTCGGACGCGTTACTGAAAACAAATACGAGTGGGAAGAATTCGTCCGAGGATGGGTTACCACGCAGACGCAACGGGCTACCCCTGCGCCCGATTCGGCCGTCGACGGGTTACCACTGGCGGCCCGGGGACAAGGGTTTCCCCCTGCCCCCGATTCGGCCGAGGATGGGTTACCGCCTCCGGCCGGACGCAAGAGTGTCACCCAACGCCCGATTCGGCCGCCGATGGGTTACCACCGGCGGCCCGGAGACAAAGGGTTACCGCTGCCCCCGATTCGGCCAAGGATGGGTTACCACCCCCGGCCCAGACGCAAAGGGCTGCCCCTGCGCCTGCTTCGGCCGCCGGTGGGTTACCACCGGCGGCCCGGAAACAAGGGGTTACCCCAGCCCCCGATTCGGCCGAGGATGGGTTACCACCCGTGGCCCGGACACAAGAGGTTACCCTTGCGCCCGGCCGCTGTCTCGTCGTCGTCGTAAGCCCCTCAGTCGCCCTTGTGTCCCGCATTACTGCGGAACCGCGGGATGTTTGCCGACGACCAGCTCGGCATAGAACGCTTGGATTGCCAATGCGAAGTGCACTCCCCATGGGAGGGGGGGCGCGAGGGCTACCGCCTGAAGCTTCCTCGCAATTCCCTCGCGGACAAAGCTCCCGCCTGATATTTCTTCCATATTCAGGCCTCAAGATCCCACAAGTGACGACAGTTACAGGAGTCGAATGACCCGTTCGCATTAGTAACGTCATCAGCGGGCCCCCATATCCAAGCGTCAGGAGCCCAAAGGTGACGACAGATACAGGAAGGGAATGGCCCCTTCGGATTAGTAACATGACCTGCGGGCCCCATAGGGGGGGGCTCCCGCCTAAGACTTCCCCGCAATTCATTCACAGACGAGGCTCCTGGCCAACACTTCCCCCATATTCAAGTTGCAGGAGCCCAAAGGTGACGACAGTTACAGGAATCGAATGACCCTCTCGGATTAGTAACGTGACCGGCGGGCCCCATAGGGAGGGAGCTCCCGCGTGAGATTTCCCTGCAATTCACTCAGAGACGACGCTCCCGACGAAAACTTCCCCCATATTCAGGCACGAGGAGGCCAACAGTGACGACAGTTACACGAATCGAATGACCCGCTCGGATAAGTACCATGATCTGCGGGCCCCATGGGGAGGGGGCTCCCGCCTGGGAATTCATCGCAATTCAGTCACAGACGAGGCTCCCGCTTCATACATCCCCCATAGTCACGCCTGAGAGGGCCAAACATGACGACAGTTACAAGTTTGCCGAGAGAGCTCATGTGAGTGACCACGAAAGGATAATTGAGTGAGTGGCGAGGATGCTGTTGATGATGTGTGCTGCTGATGAGAAGGTTGGTGAATGTTCGATGGATGGTGGTGTTGGTGATGATGAAGATGATGATGAGTGGTGATGATGGTGATGATGATGATGATGATGATGATGATGTTGATGATGATGATGATGATGATGGTGATGATGATGATGATGAGTGCTGGTGATGGCGAGTGCTGGTGACGCGGTGTTGACAATGACGATGCTGATGATAATGCGTGAGTGATTGAGTGAGTGATTGAGTGAGTGAGTGAGTGTCATAATGAGTTAGTGTGAGTGAATGATCGAGTGGGTGTTTTTGTTCTTGCGCGGGGTATCACGAGAAAACAAGAAACCCAGTTTGGATGTGGGTTAAAAGTTCGCCGCACGTCGTATTAGTTTCCTGTTCTCTTGAAGTCCATGCAAGTTGTGCTGTTACGCGCGAGTGCCCTTCAGCCGAGGCGGTGGGTGCTGCAAGAACGTGGTACGTTGGCGGCTCGGATGCGGGCTTCGGATATGTGGACACGCCAGTGCGTTACCAGGACGATGTTCTCTCTTGCTGGTGCCCGCGATTGCCAGTTTGTCACATCATATACGTGTCTCACTTATCTTGTGCATGCGACCTGAGTTTGAGCTCCTTCTCATGG